AAACCACATTAAACATAATCGCACAGTCATGATGAAATTTATGCGTTTTTGAAATTATTTCCTTGATGATATATCACATCCATATCACCAAACTTCCAAATTGAATGGAACTAAGAATATTGAATTATTTATCGATTTTGTTATCAAGATGTATGGCTCTTTTCTTTAGAAGTAGTATAATGATAATAATAATAATAATGATTATTCGATCACAGTTATAGGTGAGTTTTACAAAAGAAAAAAATAATAATCTCCAAACATATAATAAATTGGAACATACTTTCGAAATGCTATAATACCTTACGAATGAATAAAGATATATACCACTAAGGCAGAGCCAGCGCGTGGGCTAAAATGTCTGTATATATAAGTTATACAATTCCGAAATAATTATTCTTTGAAAATTCAGATGAACAACCTTTCAAATAAGTAAAAAAAAAAGAGAATGTGATTAATGATAATAATAATAATAAATAAATTCAATGTTAAATATTTCCTACAAAATTGATATATCTGGTTCTATTATCTTATATATACATCTCCTATCTGTTACAAGAATATAGTTCTTCATGTTTTTTTTCAAATGAATAACTTGATGTCGATTCCTTGATGTTCTTGTGGATGCTATATTAAATATTCTTGTACTAAGGTAAGTATATCCTCTTTGGCCAATTGTTTTGAATGAGTACTCAGTGCGAAACATGTTTTTTTGATTTGCCCTAGTATTATAAATATGATCAATATGCCTCAATTCACTTTCATTCTTGAATTGATCTATCGAGGCACGTAAGATATAAATCTGTCTAAGGTCTGATATTCTACTCTCATAAAAAAGTAGGTCTGAGGGGTGAGTCAATTCCTCATTGAAACAGATCTTGAGGAATTTTTTTTTGTAGGATGACCAGGAATGCTAAGTGACTACTGGCTACACCTCACCAACCTAAGATTCCATACCACAATCTTGACTCGACTAATGCATGGTGAAGAGTTTAAGAAGGGAATGCAAGAAACGATGTTCTTCATAGTCAATTGTAAATTCTTTCTGATTGAAACAATCTATCATTTTACTCATGTCATTCTCAACTCAACTCACTGCTGTGTCATCTGCGAAGCTAATAATATCTTCGGTGGTTTGTGTGGTGAGTATGTCATTCATATATATCGTGAATAGTATAGGGCCCAAAACTGTTCCTTGAGGAACACCATATTCCACAGTTCTTCCTTCACTCAAAACATCATCAATTTTCACGCGTTGTTTTCGGCTCGTTTAATAACTTTGGAAGGGTTTGTTCGCTTTCCCTCTGAATCCGAGATCCTGCAAATCCTCCAGACGCTGTGCATGTTCAACAGTATCGAAAGCCTTTGCAAGATCTAGGAACACGATTGAAGGGCGTTTCTTCTTCTCCAAACTGTTATAGATTTTCGAAGTCAGTGAGCAAATGGCATTATTCGTAGATTTTCCTTCCATGAACCCAAATTGTTTTTCAGATAACAGTTTCTTTTCATTCATATAATTGACCATTCTAGATTTTGGGATTTTTTCAAATATTTGGGCAATATTACTAATCAGAGTGATTGATAGTTTGGAATTTCTTCGTTCTTACCACTTTTGAATAATGGTTTTATCATACCCTGTTTGAGCACATCTGGCCATATTCCATCCTCGAAAATTTCATTGATTGAATATGCCAAAGGTTCCGATATTTCATTCTTGATTTTTTTTGTAGCTCTGCCCGAATTTCGTCAAATCCAGGAGCTTTGTGATCTTTCAAACTATCTATTGTTCTTATCAGTTCTTTTTTTGTTGCAGGTGATGAAAATATTGAAGATTCTGTGCGGGTTTTATTGAAAGGTGAAATTAAAGGAGTCTCAATCTTATCTGCGAACCTACCTAACGAAGTGTAATGATCATTAAATAGGTTTGCTATTTCTAAATCGCTAGTGATAGTTATTCGGCCATTTTGTAATTTGTTGATAACATTTTGTTGTTCAGGAGCTGATAGGTCTTCAACTATATTCCGAATCATTTTGTTGTTAATTTTGCTGTTATCAATTTCATTTTTGTGATAGTTGATTTTGGCATTTTTGGCTAGTGTATTGACCATGTTCCGGTAATCAATGTATGCATTTTTCAATATTTTGTTGTTCTTATTATTTTTATATTGTTTAAATAGTTGATTCCTATGATGGATACTTTTGACTAAACCTTTCGTAATCCAGTTTTTTTTCTTCACTTCATTATGTCTAACCTTGTACGAGTTGGAGCAGATCGATAGAATTTTTTAAAAACGAGAGTATATAATCGGTGCATGCATCGACATTTGGCAACGAATAATATCGGACCCAATCATGATTTTCTAGTTTCTTTTTCAATTGGTCGTAATGGTGTTATTGGTTTTCATTGGAATTGGTATTTTCAAGTGTTTCAGTGGCAACTCCAACAGGGTAGCAGAGTGATCTGTTACATCTATTTGTGAGACTGCAGAGGACAGGGCAATTTCTTCTTTCGAATTTTTATAGAAAATATGATCTAAGCATGTATTGCTCTATAGTCTAGTGGAACAGTTTATCAAAGAATTGAAATTTAATTCATACATAATGTTCAAATAATTGAAAGTAACATCGTCCTCTTCTGATATGTTCAAATCCAGATCGCCTACAATAACATGGTGGTTAGAATTGTAATTTCGGGCTTTTGTCATGAATGTATTCCGTTAAGCCGATAATAAATTGTCTTGGATCAGAGCTTATTGGGGACTCGTAGACAGCAGTTATACAAAATTGTTCATTATCTACTTCAAATTTCACTGTATCTATTTGTAATATTTGATGATTACATCGAAGGCTTGTTGAAGTGTATATCAAGACGTCATCACATATATTAGCATAATTTTAATTATATCATATTGTAACCATCTAACTGAAATAAGTCAATAATATGAATTTTTCGGGTTTTTGTTAACACCAAAATTGAAAATTCGTTGATAGTTCCTGATAAATAAGCCATGGAAATATCTAAGATTTTTGATGCACTTCTCATATATACAAGTATATTTTTTCTATATTTCTCAATCTTCATCCCGATACTGAACATATTGGCATGATATATCATTATATCACAATACCTCGTATAATACATTATGTTATTCAATAACCAATATCTATGTCTCAACCATACATATAATTGTGTTATCTGTGTTACCTATAATAATTACTAGGTAGGTTGAAGTTTTCAAATTTTTTGCCTAGTTTTTCGGTTTCATGAAGCAGAACAACTAACCGATACTCAAAAAGACAATCCTCAATCTGTTTCAAAATATCACTGTGAATGGATCATTCTAAGGGTCTCTCATCAGGAGTACGGCAAGATCAATTCATTAACACAGTTATTATATATTCTGGGACAGATCACTCTCTCTGTCTTTTCTGAGAATCACTCTGGTGATTCTCTTGATAATTGCAGAACGATATCGGTATAACCTGAAAACTCCTAGGTGATAATCAGGATGTAAATATACAATATTGTTCAAATATTCTGAGTGACATTGAATATACGTTATGAAGTAACATTGATTTTATTCAATTTATGATTTATCTATATAATATTAACTAACAAAAATTAAATTGCAATATTCATCAGATGAACAGAAGCCCATCGCTATTACGTATTCGTGATATTGAGCATTTTTTAGAATAACATCACAAAGTCACAATGTTACATTCAAGTAATATTTTAATGTTGAGTGGGGTAATACTATATATAGTTGTATATGTTCGAAGTTACATTACCTACCATCTCCTTCCAGATGTACGTTGGTGAAAAATCGAACACCCAGTATATATTCAAAGTGTTCCAGAATGTGATCAGGAGAAAACAATAGGCCTAAGAAATCGTGGAAATAATATGAAGAGTTTATAACCTCATATGTTTCGGACCTTCGTTTTCGTGATACAAGGTGTAGAAGTTTTTTGAAGAAACAACAATAGCTTTCCATTCCAAACTTGAGAACTCCGAAGCCGATGTTTGTTGAACTAAATGGATTTGTTTGCATCATGGTAATTCACCTTTTGGTATGAATAGATACATCGTGATCGTTTCGTTGACGCCTCAAATCCTTTTTTTTTATGTTCTGGTTCCCACTTGGGTTCTCACGAAAAGGAATATCCTGTAATGTTCACAGAACATCGTGAAGACAAAGGAGAATAAAGTAGAGATTGGTGTTCCCCTTGAATTTCTGGAGGTTATATGCCTCGGGGAACTCCTCCCTTGGCAAGTCTCAACTCGACAGGTTAATGTCGCGGGAACTGCCAAGGGAGGAACAATTGTTGATATTTCAGAAGAGCATCGTCCATGAAAATATCTATGAAAAAGAGCCAGATCGCCAACTTTTTGACGGTCTTCCAGAAAAGTGAGTGAGTTTGTGAGCGAGGCATCACTCACGAGAAGAATTGTCCTTTTTTGGACAGAATCCAACAGTTTCAAGAATATGAGAACAGTATTCCAGGACAGGTCGGATCTGTGTCTTATAGATCATAAGCAGCTGACTGGAAGTGAAATAGCTCCTGGCCCGAAACAAAAAAACAAGTTTTTGGGATGCACTTTTAGCAACCTGATTCATATTTATTGTGGAAATCACTAGGCTCAAGTATCGTGCTTTTTCACCGTTGTATATTTTATCAAATGCGTTGATAAAATATGCAGTAGTTTCAAGATTTTTTCATATCTTGCTTAGTTTCAATGAAAAATGATTTAATCTGATGATACAAATCTCAATGTTAGCAAAACATGTGTGTTTGCGAATTTTGTAAAAGTGTCACCGTTTGTGGGGTTTTCGTATTAACTATTGACTTCCATCAAGTAATGACCGAGTCAATACGGAAACATATTTCAGATTATTGCCAGAAATTCAGATTGGGAATTGTTGATCTTTCCGTAGCAGTTTTTGGAGGGTACGGCTCACAGATTCAAACTCGATCCCAATAACATAACCTCGACTCACCTTTTTCCGCTGTTTCTTCAGTTGCCAGAACCAAGTGACAAAAGACAATAAATATGGTGACGCTCTCAACCCACATGTTCGCGCACAGATTCCACTGACTTGCCGTAGGTAACCGTCTCGAAGAACACTCGGTCTACACTGACACCTCGGAGAATACTTTCTACCATGGCTATATAACTAGCTAGCTGCAATTGGCGATCAAGAGCAGTGGTGGAGACCACATCTATATAGAAATCGCAAGAAGAAGACATCACACAGTTCGTTCCGGCGGCGTTTTTCCGTTTTCTATACAGGGTGTCCCTCCGGGAACTGCATCGATCAATATATAGAAAACCATAGGTGGGCTCAATTCGAAAATTTGGGAGTTCATTTTGTTGATAAGTGAGTGCTATCCGGCAAAAATATTTTGAAGATTGTGGTACATTCTGGTTGTACCGGAAGTGAACCCCAACTTCACATAGAACACCCCGTATAATATCAAGGTTTCAGATGGAACGCATTATTCTGAACATGTTTCGTGTATAATGTCATATACCCAAGTCTTACCGTTTTCGAAATATGTATTTCAAATTTTATGTTGAAAAAAAAATTCTTTGTCATTTCTGAACATGATCATTTATTTTCGATTTCGTATCGATTCATTCGATTTATTCGTAGGAGAGGACACAGTTGAGTAGAATTTTGATATCAATTCGATAACATTCATACAGGGCGTTCGCCAGAAAATGATATAGATCCGGTTGAAGAAATTATTGTGAATCAATTTTTTCAAATGGAAACCCCTCAATTTCATATTCTCATTCGATTCGGCATCAAATGTGCAGATAACTTTGAATGAGGTTATCTATGCCTACACTCAACAGTTTTCGATATATAAGGGAATTAACATGTCACGTTGAAAATAATAAATAGATTCAAGTAATCTTCATTCGAATAATTCAAACGAGCCGGCATGATTGATTTCAATGACATTTCCGTGGCAGTTGAATGTTTCCAACGCAACTGCGGGCGCCATGGCAAATAACTAAGAATGAGTAGACTGAAGAATACGAAATTTTTTTGGAACTGAGACATGTCAATTCGCCAATATTCCTAAAACTGTTGAGTGTAGGCATAGATAACCTCATTCAAAGTTTGATTCATTATCGATGCAGAATCGAATGAGGATATGAAATTGAAGGGTTTACATTTGAAAAAATCAAAATAATTTTTTCAACCGTATCTATATCATTTTCTGGTGAACGCCCTGTATAACTGTGATCGAATTCATATCGAAATTCTCTTGAGCTGAGTCCTCTCCTACGAATAAATCGATACACAATCGAAAATAAATGATCACGTCCAGAAAAAAAGAAAAATATTTGTCGGTCCGCAAACACAATTTTCAACTAAAATTTGAAATATTTCGAAAACGGTTGGTCTTGGGTATAAGACATCATGAATGAAACATGTTCAGAATCATACGTTCAGTCTTAAACCTCATGAATATACAGGGTGTCCCATTTGAAATGACGAAGTTGGGGTCCCCTTCCGGTACAACCGGAAGTACCACAATCCTCAAAGCCGGAAAGCACTTATCAACAATAGTGAATTCGCATATTTTTGAATTCAGTCCAATTATGGTTTCCTATATGATGATCGATGCAGTTCCCGGAGGGACACCCTGTATATAAGTAGAGCTACGCGGAGGATGCGTAAAATAATGGAATTCTACAAGGTTTAATTAGGCAAATATTGAATCATCCGTGAAATTTAGTCTGCATTTTTTAGTCAAATTGTATCCCATTATTGAAGTGACAATTCGCATAATGCAGAATTTCGTTTCTCACTGAAAGGCTTTCACAAACAAAAATGTGTCTCAGATGCAAATGGTCGTGGATTCAAGTTTGATTTCCGAATAAAAAAATTCTGTTATATAGCTTATCTCTTTGGAGGGACAAAAAAAACTTATACCAACACGTTTTATGCTCTGTTCATTCCTTGATGACAATCTTGTATACCTATACTGTTGATACCTATATAGAATATGAAACAGAATGATTGTCCTGCAGGAGTAGGAGGCCAGTTTTGCGAACATATTCGTGATGTTTTCAATAGTGGAGTCGATTTGATAACTACGTTAAATTTATTATTCCACTATCGGGTAGATCTTGCAAATTTGGAACTTGATGAAGACGTTAATGACAGTTTCTATATGAAGCTTGGAGAAGAATGTCAATCATGGAACGAAAATTCATTAACAGTCAAAGATTTTTTTTTTTCTCCTACCTTAATGGCCATGGACATTAGTCCTTCAGCCACACACAATTTAAATTTTTCGTTTATATTTCAATATTGTTTTTTGTTATAAATTTGACCATTTCATCAATATTTTTCCAGAGACCGTAGATAGCACCAGAATATTAGCCGAAAATAAATGAACTTCAGTAAGTACAAGAGTTGAAAAAGTATTATTAGTAAAAAGGAATTAATTGTTTTGGTGCAAATCTGAAAGAAATTTCATAGCTTGCTGCATCCCATCCTTCCGAATACAGGCATAAATGCATGAAAGAGTTGGATACAAAATGCAGTTTTTCAATATTTACGTATCCTATGACCAGTGGCGGCTCGTGACTTTCATGACAGAGGAGGCTGAATGTTATGAGATTAATTATGAGAAACAACTCTCTACTCACCCAAATCAATAACTTTAATGACATTCTGTTTACCAGTTAACCTGAACTTAATACTTGAAGAGATGTGTTCCTGTGATTTGCAGTGTCTATCCAATCCGCGAGGCAAATTTTTCAAATCATTATATCCTAATCGCACCCAACATAATGACTTATCGGCTGAAAATAATACGTAGTACCAACAAAATAGCTTATTCCTTACCTCAGATCCCGTCAACCAGATATATTTTCTATAATTATCAGAATTGAACGAACGATTTTGTTTGTTACCTGTTACAATCAGATTTTTCAATGTCGGACGTTTGTTTTTCACAATCTATTTATCTTTATAAGACAAAGCACTGAATGGGTTCACCAGAAAGTATTCCACTAAGTCGCAATCGTTTGAAACACTCATTTTTCAGAAATTCATAGAGCCCCTAACCATTAACCTAACATAAAGGTAAAAAATGCACTCGCGTTTGTCCGCAATTCGCGAAGCGACACGACAAACACGTGCTATTCGGAGGTATTCGGGCATTTGCATTGCGCGCGTAGGTTGCGCCATGTGACGAAGTCTAGCCTCCCATAGATGTTGCCAAGTTGAATATTTTACGCGTGATTTGCAGACTTCATCGTGTAATGCGTTGGCAAGCACTGTTGCCAATTCAAAAATATTTAACTAAAAACAGGAAATAAAATCGAAATCAATGTATTTTGGTGTCCTTTTAATGGGAAAGTATTGATAATATTAGTTTAAGGAAAATCTCTGAGGAGGCTCAGCCTCCGTTGCCTCCTTTGAGGAGTTGCCACTGCCTATGACATGACCGCTCTACGTAGCTCTACTGGAAGTGGAAATGGAAGAATGCGTTCCGGCGAATTTATCTGTGATGTTGACGTCTCTGAGATGTACGGTTCTGGTATAAATGGATATTACTTTGTTACGCCGTTGTGGTACATGATTTGTAAAATTTTCTCTTCATAATGTGATTGTCCTCTATCATCGCATACATCGATGCAATATGTCAAGTTCAATTGAAATCGGCCAAAAAACGGAAACAATTCAGGACATATGCTCACAGGAAAAACCTCAACGTTGTGCAGTTCAACACGATGACATTCTTTATAGCGGAAATGGAACATTCATGAATTCGTGATCAAAAAGAAAGGCGAATGAGTAATCTTGCAGCACGTATGTCTGGTGAATTTCATCACCTCTGACTTTTGACTGATCACATCAGTATGGTTGAACAAATAATGTAGTGAAATATAGCATTCCTTCGTTCCTTTGAAATTTATTGAAATAGCTTAGTCCGGAGTTATGACTGTTTGACGCTCAATAACCAACAATAAAAATATAGTCATTCCTAGTAGCCCAATCACCTTAGTATCAAATTTGACGAATAGCGGGAATCGAACCCAAAGTTTTGAAAATTGGTGTACATGTTCCCTTTGGCATGACTTCCAACCAAAAAAAAGTCACCACCTGTACCTGTAGAGCTAACTCCGCCATCTTGGAAAATGTGTGCACTTTTTCAGATATTCGGTTATATCTCAGTATCTGTTAACTTTATCGATATCAATATGCTGAGGTAAAATGAAGGAAATTGAATTTAGAAAAAAAAAGTTTTCTACATAAATACTCGTTTAGTGCATGGTTTATCAGTAAATCGTAAAACAATATGCAATATTTGAGAAAATTACTCATAATTATTCTGATATACATATATTCCAACTACAAGTAACTGTCAGAGAGTCGGCGCTATATTCAAGGATCCTCCCAACACAAGACAGCGATCGGCCATTACAGAATACCAGTGTTTTTTTTAATTGCTTGGAGCGCACGAAAGGGTATCCCTATAATGTTCAAAGAACATCGCGCGTTCCTAGGGAGGATAGAGACAGGAGGTAGGTATTGGAATTTTTTTGAACTTTTGGAGATTATATGTTGTTGGGAATACTTCCACAGGCAATGCATTCCAGAGCCTAGCCGTTCTATGGATGAAGGAGTCTTGATGCCACATATTAATGGTTTTTTTTCTTTTACATCGTATGATTTGGCAGTAAAATCAAACGTTCCTGTCAATCTGCTCCAGTTACATTGCCTACGTCAGGAAACACTACGGCTCTAATTCGGTGATTGTTTTCGACGGGTACTCATCTGATGATGCTGATGGAACTAAAAAGGCTGAACAGCATAGACGAGCTCTTAAAAATACATATGCAGACTTATTATGTCTTGTTTGATGAAAACATGCCGGTCACTGTCGCACAAGAAAAATTACTAGCTAACCCGAAGAACAAGAAGCGATTGATTGCTATATTATCAGAAAAAATGAAGGGTTCATCACAAAGCAAGCAGTGGACGATGCGGATTCGCTAACAATACAGACAGCTATTTAAATTTCTTCCTCTACCCAAGTCACCGTTGTTGGATAAAATGTAGAACTACTTAATCTACTCATAGCTTTGGCTCCAGCAGAACGCAACATTTACTTTGTGAAACCAAAAAAAGGCA